AATGCAAAATACTACATTTTGTATTATATCCCCGCTTACTTTCCAAGTATGCCATTTGGATGTTTGACTAAATTAAAAGGTAGAACACCTTTTATTTCTCTAGCAACTCTCTATGCTATCTTTCTGCTCAGATTAATCTGCGGTATCTTAATAATTTTAGGTGTGAAGAATCAATAGTGAACTTAGGTACAATGGCAGGGGACTAATATATATTGGCCATCAGGGAAGTCCCTCTGAATGTTTGCTCATGGATGGTAGCAATGCTGACTCAGGACCCGATCCTACCAGATGCTAAGCACCATTTTGTTTTGTATTTTTCTCAGTAGAAGTACAATGCTTAGAGTTAGCCTTTTGGATTATACCAGCTTGGGCAAACTCAGCAGTGCATAATATCTGTATAGGTATATAAGGAACACGCAAACTACTGTGTCGATCATTCATGTCCTGATCTTGCAGATGCCTGCAATGTTCTCCCTGTGAGCAGTCCTGTTGACTGAAACAGGTCTACACACAGCAGAATTAGACCTACATGTTTTTGTTTGCAGGACTGAAGTCTTGTACTGGACTGGTGGAGGTGCACTTCTTGGAGAAGGGCTTATGCACGCTTCTCTTGCTGGGGATTGAAAGATAATGTTGTGTTTATACAGCTTTGGAATACAGCCTGCATTTTTGGAAAAAAATAAGGAAATAAAAGATACAAAAAAGAAGAAGGAAACGCAAGAGTGCTAAGGCAAACTGTCAAATGGCACATCATACCTACTTTGCCATTCATTTCGATAACATCACAAAGGCAGACCAGAGGAGTTCTGTAAACATATACCATACAGTACATCAGCCACAAGAAATTAAAAAAAGAAAACAACCCTGTAATTCTTTTCTTTCTGTATTGATATTCTAGTAATTGAAAGAGATTGCCTAGCCACTAATCATAATGCTGTGGTTTTTGATTTGTATTCTCTTCTGTTAAAAAAAAAATAAAAGAAAGAATGGAAGTAAAATGCAGTGGTTTGCAAAAGAAATGGTCCCTGAATGCAAACAAGGGACAACATGGAGAGTGGGTTTATAGAAACTTAGAAAATACAAAATATAAAAAAAGTTTCCTAGGTTACTTTTTTCCCAGTCTAGGAAAAAATACACTGAAAAGAGGTTTTTCTTTGTTTTTCTTACAAAAGTTAAGGCGAGCAGTTTGTTGTGGCAAAATGCTGTTACTGAACCAGTTTCTGACTCTACATTTTTGTATCCCCTCATGCTGAAACTGAAAATGTACATGTGATGGCATGAGTTAAACAGACAGGGATTTTGCTTGAAACAATATTAAAAAAACCCATCCCATAATGATCCTTACATAAATTTCTCTCTGCTTAACCAGAGAGCAGGCCGCTTCCCTTGCACCTGATTGTTCATGGATTTTCACAGGCAGCCTCCTATCCAAGGGTAAGTGGAAAACCAACCCTTTCAAAGCCCAAACCATCCCTGGAAAACCAGTTTACATTCATCAGCCTGGGCTAATGCGTCTGAATCCCCCTGTAACTTGGCTGCAGGCTAATGGCTAAAAGGAACAAGGCAATGTCCAGGCATGGCTGTGGCCTTTGTGGAGGAGCATGATCGGAATAAGTGTGTTTCAGCCAAGGCCCTGTGACTTCAGACCCATTAGCTCCTATTTCACGTTTTTCCTGACCTCAGATGGGGAACTGCCTTTGACCTATAAAGACCAACCCTACGCAGGTGAACCTTTAGCTTTCCTGTACCTACCCAGGGCCTGTTAACCATGGAGTTAATATGAACACATGAAAACGACTGGCCTTCCTAGGCACTCAATGTTAGCTACAAGTACTGAGCAGTAGGTATTTGAGAGGTTATAGTTTAAGGCTTGTGCTCTACTTCTAACCACTAAAGGGCCATTTCTGGTCTGTGGTGTGCCACCATCTCCCCACCGTGCTGTGCCTCTGATGGTGCAGTGTTCTCAGACACGTTCTGGTCCCAGCGTCAGCAAGCATCTCCCAAAGCTGGCTGCTAAGGGAGTCATCCCCAAAATGCTGAGTTGGTGCTGAACCAGAAGTCCATCTGACAGGGGAGCACATGGATCAAGAGATGCAGGGACAGAAGGGGTTAAGTTATTATGATAGCCCAAATTTCCCAAGCAGGAGGTTTTGGACAAAAATGTCCATATGGGGAAGGGAGTGGCAGGGGGAAAAAGATAAGGCTGTGAAGACACCATGAGGCCAGGGTGACTATGAAGGTGGCATCACACCCAGAGAGGAAAAGGTGGTGAGCAACAAGATGACTGGCCAGGCCAGGAGGAGCTGGCTGGGAGATTTTTTTCTGAGTATTAGTGGTGAGGTGAGCAGGCCCCAGAGTGACAGAACTATTGCAAAGTGTGCCGGGCTCCCACATCATTCACAGGTAGATGCCAGCCAGAAAGGGCTTCACCATTTGAGTTGCAGGGCTTCTAAACATGCCTGGGGACAGCCTCACCTGCCATATTGGGCTTGAAACTTAGGGTCTGGTTTTAAGAAATGTTTAGATTTGGAAATGCTTAGAGTTTCTGGGAAAAGAGAGAAATGGAAAAAAAAAAACCCCACCCAACCACCACCACCGCCAACCCAAAAAAAAAACCCCAAAACCCACACAACTCAGCCAGAACCACACACAGGCTGCTAGTTTCTAAAAAACAGCCACCAGACCTTTTGTTTCAGTATGAGGCTCTGTGGCTCTTCCTCTCTATGATAAAACTTAACCACCTAAGCCTGAGTCAAAGAATGATGTGCAGAGCTTCTCTGGGTAAATTTGGTCCTTCTCCCAACCAAAAGCCTCCAAGGGAGGTAAAGGGAACATGTGGAAGTCTATTCATTTCTGCCACTGCAGCTGATATGGAGGTTAGCAAAATTTCTGCAGGTGTCAAAGAGGTGAGACTGTCTTACTACTCTTGCTTTTTTTACTACTTGTTTGGGCTTTTTTTGTCTGACAGTCACTTAGGCAGTGGTGAGGAGTTTCATTGACCAGTTCCATAGTGACAGCTGAGTGACCTAACATTGGAATTACCTTTTGCTTTTTTTTTTCATGTGTAGGTTTTCAGTGTGCCTCATATTGCCACCACTGAACAAGTGTCTTTTTTTACTGGCACAGAAAGAAAAGAGTACAGAGCAAGAACTGTGTTTAATCAGATGCTCTGGACTAACAATTAATGCAGTAAAAGCACCATCCAAGAAAGAACAGAAATATCATAGGAACCACCTCAGACTGAAAAGAGGCTTTTGTAATTTTCTTTTTTTTTCTTTTTTTTTTTTTTTACTGTTTTTTTCAGTTGCTGTTACTGGTTTTTAAAGTCTGATAGTTTCAGAGACACTTCAAAATAAGCTTCAGTACTTGTTCATGCTATCAGAAAATATAAAACCTGATTTTTAATCTCACTCATGTACTTATAATTCCAGAGTAACTCCACTACAGTGAGTGAAGTTAAACTTAAGCCAAACCAACGTGATACAAGAATCAGGTTCATAATAACTCACCATGAAGAAGCTATCTGCTTTCTCATTTAGAACAATCAAGGAACAAGAAAAAAAGAAAGACTTGATTTTGGATGCCTTCACATTTTTATATTTTCATCTTTAATTGTTTTTAAGAGGCCTGATTTTCAGAGGTCAGATGAAGAAAAATGCACTGGAAATCAGGCGTCTTTTAGTGCCCCACATTAGAAAATGAAGCATCCAAAACCATCAGCAGTTTCTGAAAATATTAGTCTTGTGGCTAGAGGATCTCCCAAAAGAGCTGCTCTGACAAAACTCAAGTGGACTTCCACGGGAGTTTTACCTGGACAAGCAGGGCAGCATCAGACCCAATTGCCTGTCATTATGTAGGTACACTGAGGGTACATTCTGTGAGAAATTATGTTTCTGTAAGAACGAGAAAAGATAACTCTGGCCCTGCCCCCATTACCAGCACTAAAAATTTAACCACTGAATCCAGTAGGAGTAGGGTCAGACTGTCAGAAAGTTCATTTATATTCTAGGGAAATAGAAATCAGTATCCCTCTTCTACCGGAGTTCAGCAGGAAAACTTCATGTATAAACATTGGCAGAGTTACTCAAAGTAACCCTGATAAGTGACTCCATTTCTGTTGGTGTGACAGCTGCATCTTTTTCATGTCAATTTCAGCTTTAATTTGGGGAGATGAAGTGCATATACAATACTGTAATCTGGAAGATTTATATAAGGCAAAATGATCATTCATACATTTTCTAGAAAGAATAATTAAGGTCCACTTCTGGTATCACCAATAATCAGAAATGGCTAATGGGTTTTTCTGACACTGCAAACTAAACTGGAAAGTTACTAAAAACCAAAATTATGCAATTTCTTTGGGAAAGGCTTGTCTGAGTTTTAGCAAATCAGAACAGTAAAGTGATCTGAGCCTTCTCCTAAAAAATAAAAAAATATGATCTATAAATTAATGCTTAATGTGATTTTTCTTAAAATGGAGAACTAACAACTTTTAAGGCTCTCATATCTGGTAGCTGTGAAACTCAGACTCCCACAAAATCCTAGGAATCTGATCAAGCTTGCCAGATACTTAAAGAAAGAATGTAAAAATTGTTTTCATCACATATATAAAATATATATATATATAAATCAAATAAATATGAAAACATATGTTCCATTTCTCATTTTTCTCTCACTCTGTAGTATTAAGGAAAAAAAACAAAACAAAACACCATCACCAACAACACAAAGAAAAAAAGAATCCAAAAACCCCCAACCCCTCCCCAACACCAAATAGTATGCCTGATGGGAAAATAACCATGCGTTCCTCTTCCTGAAGAACTAGAAAGAAAAGCAACCCAACTGCAAGGCAATGGAGGCATTCACTTCCAGTTCACAGTATTGCAGTTAGAAGTACAGTGAGGTCTAGGTAAGTGATGGAGCAGGAGCTGCCTGGAGCTGGGAAGGAGGAGGTGTTCACATGACAATACAGCATTGACAGCGCTTTTTCTTTTGTGTACCTGGGGCAGCTTCCAAGGGCAGGCTCTCTTCCTTACCCTCAGGAGAGGAGGGCTCTGTCGTGTCTGACAGGGGCCTGCCAGAGACTAGTTCAGCAGCGTTCCCATCCATGGTGGAAACATCAGTCACTGTCTTCTCCCGCAGTGACTTCTCGTCATCTTCGTCAATTAGCACAAGCTCTGCCTTGATGGTCTCATCGTAGCCCAACACTTTTTTTGTCTCCTCTTCATCATCGATGTTCTGGTAGCCCATAAATATCATTGTCACCGGCTGATCTGCACTGGCCTCTGGGGTTTCACCACCACAGGGTTTGTCTTGTGGCTGAGGGTTCACAGCACATCCTCTGCTGGATTTGTGTACCATTTCCAGCTTTGCCTCCTTGAAGAGCATTTGCTCCTTCATATGGCTAAGGTTTCCATCGGCTACCACATTTTTGTCTGACACAGTCATTGTTTCATACCCTCCTTTTACACTTGATTGTCCAGCTTTTTGCTTAAGTTCATCTACGTCCTTTGAGCTTAATTTATGTACTCCATTTTCTACCACTGTGCCACCAGAGTGAACCTCATAGACTACCTTGGAACCATCATCATAGACTTTGAATCCTCTTTGATGGGCCTCATCTAGGCCAACAGGTGAAGCAGAGACAATCTTGGTCTCTCCTGTCTGTTTGTCTTTCTCCACATTAATTTCCATGGTGCACAAAGCTTGAATGAAAACAAGAGAGGAAGTGCATGTTACAACAAAAAAAGCCAGTGAATGGTTAATTGCCAAACAGACAAAGAAAACTATGGTGCCCCTTTTTCCTATCTCCTGCTTCTAAAGAGCTAAGCATTCTACGTTAGAGGTGGGATGCAGTGCTGTGGACACTATTACACTGTGGCTTTTTATGTAGGTGGAGATTGGGCATATCTGTGGCAAACAGGACCTGCTCTTCCAGCTCACACCACGTGGAGCCGTCTCTGGTTAAATGGGAGCACCAAGAGGTTAGGTGTAATTTAGACAAGGGGAGGTGATAGCATGCAGGTTGCCCTCTAACTTTCCATTCTGAACTTGCCTCAAAATTCAGAGAGAACCCTCTACTCTCTTTTCTGTCATCAAACTGCCAGTTAGTTGGTAACAAGTTTTGCTTGCTACAACACCCAGACCATTTAATTATCAATTCTTGTCCTTGCTTAACTCTTCCATCCGTAGGACTCAAAATATTTTAGAGGGGTAAAGAAATATTGTTTATCTCTGTTCTACATGTGGGAAAACAAAATCACATGGAAATAGGACAAGTTTTCCCACAGGTATGTGGCAGGGCAGCTCTCTCAGCTTCCACACCAAGATGTCAACGGTGACCTCTGCTTCCAGGTTAAGAGAATGTACAACATAGCCAAGAAGTAATCTCTTGTTTATGTGAATTAAGCATTAAGCATAACTGTGAAAGTTGAAGAAAAAAGTAATAATAAGTAACTGATTTTCAAAGAGTTATGAAACAACAGGTAAAAACATGTGTGAGGGCTGGTGCTTTAGAATAGCAAAGGTTTTCTAGCAGTTAAGGATATAGTAATGAGATGAAAAGTGTAGACCACACAGAAGGAATAGACGAGCAGTCTACTCTGCTCCAACACCCATTCTGAGATACGATGACATATCACTAGACAGCTTTTGAAAGAAAAAAAATGTGCAAAGGTATTTCAGACTTTCCAAAGTGTTCATTTGTTTAAGCAATCCTTGTATGCATATGAAGACATTTTGGCTCCTGGACAGACATCCACAGACACTTAACTACAAATTACCACAAGCAGTGACAAGTGTTTGTGAAACTTTCAGTGATCACTTTCAGCAACTAAGCTCGATGGTGTAATCATGATTTATCTTACCTGGGGATACCACAAACTGGAATGTTTGGGTTTTTTTCCTGATTTACTTTCAAGTGAGTATAGAATATCCTTGCCCCAATAATCAATGTAGCTTGGTATGTTTGTATTTTAAAAAAATAATTAATATGAAAAAAATACTGTTACTCTAACATATTTCCTCAGTCTTTCTAATCACACACAGTAGAACTACTTTTACTGTAACCTTAAAGCAAAGTATTTCATCATCAATAGGAAATTTATCATGACATGCCTCATTACACTGCCTATAGTGCTAGATAGAGAATTAATGTGTTGGTGAGCAGGTGCATGCTATTCTCTGTGACATGGTCTCCTTTGTCCCCTAGGAGTGTAGTCTGGTGGGAAAAATGGTTGGGTCTGGCCACCTACGTGCTGCATACATCTGCTCAGACCTTGGCCAGCCCCAGAAGGACTGGTTAGGTCAAGTACAACACCACAGAAACACCTCCATGGAGCCAGGGGACAGAGAAGATGGCGGGTGAAGGAGCCTTGCTGCCTCTGAGAGTGATGTATTGCTGAAGGTTAGAGTGGGCTGCAGAAGCACCATTCTCACCTTGACCATTCAGGAGGTCTGTGGCCTAGTTTTGCCCATAGCTGTCATGACCCTGGGCACAGGATGCCCATTTCCACAATAAAGTAGGATTTACAGGTTTTTGATCTCCCTCCTGTGCTGATTTTTCATGCCTGGCTATCCCACAGCAGCCTGGGCAGTCAGAAGGGAGCTGCAAGGCTGAGAGCTGAGCTCTGCTATGAGGGGCGCAGCTGGACACTGCAAGGCACCTGGCATGGTTGGAAACAGGAAATTAAGTCTGGAAATAAAGAACAAACTGTTGCCCCAGGGCTGGTAGCAATTAACCTATGAAGAAATTGCTCTGAGAAACTCTGGCAGACAGCACCATATTGCAGGTCAGAGAGCAGATAGCATGGATCACTTGCTCAGGACTGTCCCAGCCCTGGAACTGGTATGCAAGTGTCCTTTATGTCTTATCCAAGTGCCTCTGCTCAGAAGCCTTTAATCCAATTTATAGTGAAAATTGAACAAAAAGAGGCAACACTAACACTCTAGAACTTTCTAGGTGCAGTTTCTTGAGGAGGAAGAAGAAAAGAATAACTTTGTTTATTGGCTTGGTGCCTAGGGCTTGGGTGAGTGGGCTCTGAACATCACTTGACCTCATCAGGGCTGCTCAGGCAAAGTTATTGTTCAGTAACTTTCAATATTACAAAGGCAAAAATAGAGTCTGGCTTGCCTATGGTGAAGATCCTAAAACTGTCAGGTTTCTGAGTGGCCAGCTGAACTGAAGCTAAGCTGAACTGTGAGATAGCAACAGCGCATTCAGAAAATCATCTCTGATGAGCAGAGGTTTCTGATTTGTCCTGAGCATCACAGCTCAAAAGAGAGGGCGCCACCAGCCCATCAACTGGCTGCCTGTTACCTTTTCTAGAGCTCCTGTGCTTCTCTTTTTCTTTGAAAATTAAAAATATTATCTGGTGTATGGTTTTTCATTACAGACTGGTGATTTTCATGTGAAATAGTTGAATGCCATGTAATTGTAGTGCAGAAGAGGACACAATCTGCCACACCCTCCCTATTTTTATGCAAAAATTTAGGTCAGTATTGTGCATTAAAAGAAGGCTTGTACAGTGGGAATAAATTCAGAAGCAAATAGCTAAAATCTGATAGTTAAATCATGTAGACCTGGCCATATTTGAGTTTGTGACCTTGAGGAGCATCATCCTGGCAAGGAGCAAAGACAAACTCCTGAAATTTACAAGAGTGAACTTTCAACTGTTTAAGGAATTGGTTAATGAGATCCCCTGGGAAACTGTCATTAAGGATTGATGGGCTGACCAGAGCTGACAAGGCTTTGAGATCACTTTTCTTAGCATGCAAGAGCTCTCTATCCCAATGTGTAGGAAATAAACAAAGCAGGCTAGAAACCAACATGGCTGAGCTAAAGTCAACCCCTCTAGTGGTTTAGATTCAGATTTTGATTACTCCTCAAACAAAGGAGTAAGAAAGCAACACCTGCCAGCAGAAGCAATGACCCAATGAGAGTACAGGAATATGTACTGGAGTACAGGAATATGCTTTAATGTCAGGGGTCAGGAAAAGCCAACGCAAAGCTGGAATAGGACTTGGGAAGGGGCACAAAGAGTAACAAGAAGGAACTCCTAAGTACACAGGTTAGGAAAAAAAGACTGAGAAGAATCTGTCTCCCTGTATCTCCCTGCAAAGAAGAAGGGAGAACTGGTGATGACTTATATAGAGGAGGCTGAGGTACTCAATGAGTCCTTTTGCCTCAGTCTTCACTGGAGTCAGGCTTCCCAGTTCTCTGAAGTACCTGGTCCTCTGGGTGAGTGTGAGGGAAGTGAAAACCCTCCCTCTGCAAGTGAAGAACATGTTTGGGATCACTTGATGAAGCTGAATAGCCACAAGTCCATGGGACTGGATGACATGAATCCCAGGGTCCTGAGAGAACTGGCTGATATTCAAGGCCAGGCTGGATGGAGCTCTGAGCAACCTGGAAGGTATCCCTGCCCCTAGCAGATGGATTGAGGGAACAAGATGATCTTAAAGTTCCCTTCCAACCCACACTAGTCAATTATTGTTTAATTCTATGTTGTTGCCAAGCTACTCTCTATCATATTTGAAAAGTCATGGCAGTCAAGTGAAGACCTCACTGACTGGAAAAAGGGAAACGCTGCCCACATTTTTTAACAGAGGAGAAAGGAAGAACTACAGGGGAAACTACAGACCAGTGAGCTTCACCTTTGTGCCTAAGAAGATCATGGTCATCCTAGATGATGTGCTAAGACACATAAAAGATAAGGAGGTTATCTGAGGCAGCCATCATGGCTTTACTAATGGAAAATCACACTTGACTAATCTGGGGGTCTTCTGTGATAGAATGATGCCAATGGTCACCAAGACAAGACCAACAGTCATCTATTCACACTTCTGTAAGGCCTTTGATATGGTTCCCCATTCTTGTCTCCAAATCAGAGAGCCAGAGATTCAGCAGATGGACTATTTGGTAGATAAGGAATTGACTGGCTGGCTGGAGTTGGAAAACTGTGGTCAATAGCTCTGTATCCAGGTGAAGGCCAGTGATGAGCGGTTTTCCTCAGGGTTCTCTCTTGGTACTGGTGCTCTTCTGTATCTTTATAAATGGCATGGACAGTGAGATCCAGGGCACCCTGAGCAAATCTGCAGATGGCACAAAGCTGAGCGGTGCAGCCAACACAAAAGAAGGAAGGGATGCCATCCAGGGGACCTGGACAAACCTGAGAAGCGGGCCCATGAGAATCTTATGAAGTTCAGCAAGTGCAAGTGCAAGGAGCTGCACCTGGATAGGGGCAATTCCAAATGTGAGGACAGAATGAGACAAGAAGTCATGGAGAGCAGTCTGAGGAGAAGGACTTGGGGGTTCTCATGGCTGAAAAGTAGTAAATGAGGCAACAGAGTGCACTTGCAGCCCAGAGAGCCAATTGTGTCCTGGGCTGCGTCAGAAGAAGTGTGGCCAGCAGATTGAGGGAGGTGATTATCCCCCTCTACTTTGCTGTTACTCTCTCTACCTGGAGTACTGCATCCAGGTCTGGGATCATCAGCATAAGAAAGATAGGAACATTTTTGGCTCAGATTCAGAGAAGAGCCATGAAGATGATCAGAAGGATGGAGCACCTCTCTCATGAAGACAGACTGAGAGGGGTGGGATAGTCCAGCCTGGAGAACAGAAGACTTTGTGGAGACCTTATTGCACTCTTCCAGTACCATTAGGAGGGAGAGGGACTTTATAAGGGCAGATAGAGATAGGACAAAGGGCAATAGTTTTAAAATTTTAAAACCATTGAAATAGGACAGATTTAAATACTCAGACAGTGGTGAGGCATGGAACAGGTTGCCCAGAGGAGCTGTGGATGCCTCATCCCTGCAAGTTTTCAAGGCCAGTCTAAATGCTGCCCTAAGCAACCTGATCTAGTGAAAGGCATCCCTGCCCATGGCAGGGCAACTGGAACTAGATAACATTTAAGGTCCTTTCCAACCCAAACCTAAAATTCTATGGTTCTATATTTAAGAAGAGTTGCAAGATACATATTTTAATCTATGGTATGGAGTATTGTTATTTAACAATGTCTTATCTACTAGGGAGACTTTGGGCAACAAATTCTAGCACTTGGAGGATTCTGTCCTAGAAAGTTAGGAGGTGTGATCCTTTTATATTTCAACTCTGGCTAATTTGCTTAAGCTTTTGACTCTATCAACATTTTATTTTCATGTCTTCTACTGTGATTTTACTGCATAAAATATTGGCATAACATGTGATTTATGAACATCTCAGGGACCACATAAAGCTACTTGGGCTAAGTAAATGCATAAACATATGTGAATTTCATAGAAAGCTGTTCACCAGTAAAAGGCACTGCCATGAGAGAAGTGAATGACAGAACCTTGCTTATCTGTCTGCGTGCATAATGTTTGTTCCCTGTCAGAAAACCTAGCACCCCAGCTTGTCAAAGTAGTTGGAAAATGAGCTAACATTGATGCTAAAATGTCTTTATTTAACCAAGGCATATTTACTGCAAAATGTAATCTACTAATAGAATACAAAACTACCTGACAATAGAGCTGGAACTGAAAGCAGTACTTGAAGATGACAGCCAGTATTCACAAGTACAAGTTTTCTGCACAAGCTTTAATTACAGTGAAACATGATGCAGTGCTTCAGGACAAGATCCCAATGTGCCAACAGAAGGATCTAGATTCTGCCTGTTTTAATGATTCAGAGGCTTTTCCTTAAAAAAAAAAATCTACTTACACTTTGACCCTGTTTTAAGATGGATGGTTACAGACCACCGTTAACGCCTATTGCACACACACGATACATTTATCAAGGACTACATTAACAAGGCTTCTGAGTCATCCAAAAAATGAAAGAAATTATTACTTTCTTGTCATTGACAAAATGGCACAAAACACACAGAAAATCTTGCTTTAAAGACATATCAGGGTAAGCACTGGTGGAAGGAAAGATTTTTGGAATGGCTTGCAACCAAACTTATGGGAAAAATTACACATTTCATAGCTGCGTACCATGCCTTAGCTGCAGACATTGCTTTGCTATGCTGGTTAATCCATTTCTCAAGTAAGCCACCTTTTATCCCGTTCCTTGGGACACCTCTTAGGTAGCCACCAGCAATTTGGTCTTGAGATAGGAGTACATTGTTTAGAAAACAAGGATTTTGAAAACAATAAAAATGTACAGTCCTGTTGTTACATTTAACACACACACACAATCTGAAAAATTAGCGTTAGAAAATTCTCTGTATGACTCCAAGCACAAACAAGCACACCTTTTCCCAAGAAGAAAGAATGGCATACAAAGAAGTGTAAATGACATAAATATTTGAAGAATGTATGTGGTCTTGTGAGTGCCTGTCTGGAGCTGCATGGGTACAAGAGAGGACACAAAACCTTGGCCTAAATACTATGTATTTGTACCAGCACAGATGGAAAGAACGGAATGTTTCCATGTTAAAAAAAAAAAAAAGGAAAAAAAAAGAAGGATGTTTCCTATGGTATTGTATGTAGTTCAGCTACCTTGTTTTGAGAGTACTCACTGCAGCTCAAACAGCCTTGACTTATTTACAAAAATACACATCAAGCAGTATTTCCTGGCATTTAAATGATATAGGGACACAAGACTCATTGAAGTAATATAACAAAAAGAGTTCATGGCTACTGGACTGGTATTATAATACTTTGTTCCTTGAGACTTACCAGCTACTCTGCTTGATCCGTCCCACCCAGGAACTGGCTGTGCTGTTCGTGAATAGAGGGTTGGGAGTTCAGGGATCTGGGAGTAAATGTAATTTACTGCATCTGGTGTCAGAGAACAGGAAACAGTTAGATTCGTGCTACGAGCCCCAGTGGCTTCATTGCTTAGACAGCATAGTGTTGTCAGCCCTGACAATAGTCACTGGAGCTTTGTACTAGATAATTGGATCAAAGCAAACAAAGTGCAAAGTCACTGTCCTGTGATTGGTGTTCAATAGACTAGCTGAGGCAGGAGGGAATGGGTCCAGATGACTCAAACCTTATGTCAGATGAACACATAAAATTATTTGTCTGGATGTTCTGGATTTATCAAGTCTGTCAGCTTTAAAATGGGAAGTGGGGTGGGAAAGGTAAGGAACAAACCCAATGAGATACCCAGAATACGTGACATTTCAAATAGAGACATAAAAGCCTAAAAATGCTAGTGTTGACTGAATAGGATAAGAAACCAGCTTTTTTGTACCAGTTGTTTGCAATATTACTGAATCAGAATTTGGCTTTTTGTTCTTAAAGCTGAAATTTAGCTAATAATGAAATCTCATATAGATACCGATAGGGTACTTGTTTTGGTCTTCAGTAAGTATTATTCTCCTGCCAGTGTTACATTGTCATCATTCATTAATAAGTCCTGAATTAGTAGAAAGCTACCATAAATGATTGACCTGTTTTACATTTGAGATTATGGCCGCTTATCATAAGCCAAATGTGTACTTTAGAAGAGATATTAATAAATTGAAAAGTATTTCCTTGGAGATATTTCGTGTCTGGGTTAAATATGACTAGCATTTATTGTTCTGCTCGCATTCAGTGGCTGAGCTAAGAGAAGAGCTCAGAGAAGAGATGTGCAAATAACTGACTTAAGGTTCAGGCACAAGACTAAACAAAATAAAAATAAAAATAAAAATAAAAAATTTAAAAAACACACATTCTTTCCTATCAACTGGAAATGTTTTCAGCTCTGTATGGAAATGATTAAATTTATGTTCAAATATAAAATCCTATATGGTGTGAAACAGACCATTCTTTTTCCTCCAAGGGTATCTTGCCAGTTCAATACATAATTTGTCAAGCCTTGGTACTGCGCAGTCCATGTATAGGAGGCAAAATCTCCCTTTCTTTGAAGCCTCTCATTGCTATAAGCAGGTAAGAGAGGTTGACCAGTGCAGACCATAAAAGGGAACTGGTGAATGAGAGAGAAAATGAAATGTTCTGTTGTAACCTGCTTGACTGCATCTGGTTAAGGGAGATACTTTCATCACATTCCCTATGGGTTAACACCCATTCCAGAAAAAATACCTATACCTGGTAGCATCCTCAGGAAGGACATGATGTGCCATCTCTAATCACAAAGCTTCTTTGGCAAGAAGACTTGGCCTGATTTTAATGAAAAGGTTTTACTCCCATAAACAAGTAGTCAATGGTGGCCATGAGTGCTACTGGATGCAGAAATATAAGACCCCAGGATGAAACTCTGTTCCTCTGCAGACCACTGTAGGTAACTCAAGTAAGGAGTCCTCTCTCCTACCTTCCAGTGTCAGAAAAGTAAAGCACAGATGCACAGTTAAAATTCATTTAAACCCCCCACAAATTTAGTATATAAATGAGTTCAGGTTGTAGCAGATAAATTGGAAAAAATCTTCAAGCCTGTCCAGGGAAATGTTATTCTATTTCATATTTCAGGGGACAAATGGCAGACTTGGCAAGTGGACTTTTATAATTTCAATGCATACTATATCATCAAAGTTTTGTATCTTTAGCAGTAGAACCTAGGAAAAATAATTGTTTAAGACACACAGCTGACTGAGCAATGGCAAGCAACAGCTGCTTTCTTTTGCAGAGTTACTTGTCTCTAATGAGAAATTGGTACAATGCTCAGTGCTGTTGCTGTGGAAATATCACCAGTAAATGAGTAGGCCATTATTGGAAACTGAAGTAATTTCTCAGAACAAAGAAGTGGGGACTGTATTTCTGGTCCAGGGAAAGAAGGCTCTTTGTGTTCTAGAAATAGCACAAACTTAGTAATTATTCATCCCACAGAGTGTCCTTTTGGAACAGTAGTTTCAGTACACACTCATCCAGTGACTGACAGATGTGTCACATGTATTACATGTCATAATCAATGTAGACTTGAACTGCTTACCTAATCATCCTTCTTTTGCAGTTTGTGAGGATCAGTAGGCATAGCTAGGGTACAGTTCTCATGTGAAGACACTACAGGAGGTAAAATTCTTAGCAAATATTTATTTTTCCTCCAGTGCCAATAGGGGCAACTGAGCATCGCTGACATCTAGTTGTACAACTTAATGGTGAAACTCTCACTTTGATGTGGTACATGTCTGTGGACCTTATTAAGACATGGGTTTTGGGTTTCCTTTTTCCTTGCCTCCTGCTTTAGGAGACAGAACTCAGCTAAGTGTTAGATGCTGTTAGTATTAAATTAGTTTAGAAACTTCTCCATATGTTAATTATAATAAAATATTTTAAAAATTGGCTTCAAAGCTCCAATCTGTCATTGTCATGAAAAGAGAATTCTGGGAAGACAGTGCAATTCTCGCGTAGCTGCTTCTGAAACTAGTGGCAGTGCCACATGTCTGTATTTGACTACAGTTTGGGGTTGGTTGATTCTGACAGTTCCTGTCTGGTGTTGCTGCCTCCCCCACCCAGCCTCCAAACAAAGAAAATATGATCATTTCCCTTTATGTCACTGGCAACAAGGTCTGTTTCATTTAGCACCTTTAAATGGATATAAAAAATGGATTTTACAAGGAATGAATGAGATGCAAATTAGCATTTTGATCACGTGAGAAGACAGAACACAAACAACATTTGAACAGACTGCACTCAGTATCTTCATTCAATTTTTGGTAAGTTATTAATATCTAAGGCTACCATAAAACAAGTTCTGTGTCTTTTTGTACTACTTGCAACAAAATGAATATTAGGAGTATGGCAGTCTTCCAGGTTAACAGAAAGACAAGTGCTTGGCAAAACATGGGGCAAGGTAGTCCTTCAAGGGTGCTTGCACAAAGCTAAACCTTCAGAACTGCTCCAAATACAATGGCTCACACAATGGCTTGTGGTCAAATGCCAGATGCATTAATTTTCCAAGGGATGGATTCTCTTTAAAAAGTCTGATGCCACTAAAATTAGTGGTGAGTCTTCTGCAAATACTGATTCCCAGGGCAGGGCTGTTCCACCTACAAAGCTGTCTGGGGCTGCATGGGACTGCATCAGGACAGTGATTCTGGACCTCCCGCCATGTTTGTAAGAACATCAGTGGAGGCTTTTGCTGGAAGCTGAATACTCTGGCTCTGCCTTACTGAATTATGCTTTAAACAAAGTTGGGGTCCACAGCTGACACTTTTACACCCATAAGCAACATGGTGAATGAGTGCATCTACCAGAGCAGATGCAGTAAGAAATGCTCCCCAGCCCTTTCTGAAGGCAAGAAGCCTAAGGTCAGCCATCTCAAGTGCATGTATACCAATGTATGCAATATGGGCAGCAAGCAGGAGGAACTACGGCTTTGTGCCCAGTCTGAGGGATGCCAAAAGAATCACAGAAACTTGGTGGGAAAACTCACATGATGAGGAGTCCACAATGGATAGCTACAAATATTTTCAGAAAGATAAGAAAGGAAGAAGAGGGTGTGGAATTGCACTTTATGTGACAGAGATATTTGTATGTGTAGAGGAGAGTTGTGAAGACCATGCCAGTTCTATTTAACTAGTATCATAAGATCTTGATTAGAGGGGTTATCACTAAGGGGGATATTATGCACTGACAGCCCTGTCAGGATGATGAAGCAAACAAAACCTTACTGTGGCTGCACAGTGAAGCCTTGGGCCAACTGAGCCCAGTCCTCATGGGTGGCTTCCATTACCGACACATTTGTTGGAAAGAAAAAAAATCCCAAACCGTGCACATGACATCCATCAGGTTCTTGGAATGTCTTAAGGACTCCTCATTCCTATAAAATCTGGACTAAGAGCAGCACATTGCTAGATGTACTGCTTGCAAACCAAGAAGACACTATTTGACTTACACTGGTAGCCTAAGTACCAATGACACCTTGGATACAGTGAGCAAGAATTGTGGAGTTTAAGGTCCTGCTTAGAACACTGATGACCAGTAGTAGGATGAAGACCTTAAATTTTAGAAGACATAACTTTAATATGCCAAGACCCTAGCTGTGAGAGATTCCATTGGAAGCGTCCTTGAAATTCAAAGGAGTTTGTGAGTGCTGGGAGTTACTTGTAAGTGCCTGCTGAAAGCACAAGAATGGTCTATTCCTTACAAAGGCAAAGGAAGAAATCTAAACAAAAGACTTCCCTGGCTTAACAATGAACTGTTAGGTGCAATTAGAAGCAGAAAAAGCAAGATACTGATTGTGGAAAGGCAGCCAATTAACCACTGAGCACTACAAGCATCTTGCTAGGGAGATGCAGAGATGCAGTCAGGAAGGCTAAGGATCAGCTAGGACTAAAGTTGGCAAAAATGTCAAGAAGAAAGGGTTCTTCAGTATTTGTGAGTAGTAAGCAGAAGGAAAGACATAAGACCAGTTCTTAAGGAGTGCAGGAAGCTAGTCACTTACAAAGGTGACAAGGCAGTTTTATCAATACCTTTTTGTCCATAAATACATAAATCCACATCCTAGAGTGTTGAGAAAATGCCTGACATTTTTGTAAGGAGACTGTCTATAATATTTGAAAGACACAGAGATAAGGGGGTGTCCCTGATGACTAGAAGAGCCAAAAATGTCACACCACAGGAATGGACCAAAAAAGGATCCAGGAAACTGGAGGCACTATGGTTTTACTTTGTCCCAATGGCAAGTGACAGAATGAGTCCTCCTAGAAACCACTGCAAAACAAATGAAGCAGATAATTGGGACAAGCCATAATGGATTTACCACAGACAAATCATTACAGACTAAACTAATCACCTTCTACAACATAACATCCTCTATTGACACAGGGGGAGCAGTGGATGATGTTTATTTAGACTTCAGCAAAGCTTTTGACACACACTGTTCTCCTGGCAAAGACTGATTGAGTGGTGCATGAGATGGGTAGGAAATTGACTCAAGTGTCACACTCCAAGGGTGGTAATAAATGGTTTTTACTCAGGTAGCCAGAATTGTTGCAACTGTGGCAGCTCTAGATGGAGACTGAATTTAAAAGTTATCACAAGCCTACAACTGAAAGTCAATTGGTGATGAATTTTTGCAGGACATATGGAAAGAACTCTTCAAAGAGCTGTACTTGACTCCTCTGAGGGTATGCTGGTCTGTTTTGCTCTTGGGCTGCTCAGCTGGTCAAGACCAGAGCAGAGGAAACAAGAAGAGTATCTAAACAATGTTCTGGATACTAAATAATTCAGGTCAGGTTTCCAAGACCAGTTCTTGGCCAAATATATGCTAATACATACAAAATTCAAACAGGGGTTTGTGCAAAATATTCAGTAATTGTGGTTTCTGTATGTTGGCTGAAGTAGTAGCATATAGTTTGCATACAAATGGCCAAATATTGCAGAGGATGCATTTACTTCTAGGGCAAATTCAGCAGACAAGGAAGTTACATCAGATCTTCAAGTGCCTTTTATTTTATATATACACTGAGACATAAATGTATACACATGGAGCAAGAATTCTCTCCTTTTCATTTGTTTGTGATGTGCATGCAGCATAGCACTGCAGCATGCTGGCTTTGACTGCAGACCTGAGCACCAACAAATGATGTAACGCCTAGCATCATCTCAGACCTTGTTTAATGGAGAGCTTGTCAGCTACAAGCCACCACAGAGCTGGCAGTCACAACTGGAGGTGACAGGGCCACAGCTCCCAGCCTCAGAATTTCTGCTCTACTTTCTCTTACACAGTGATTTATGAAGGCAGTGTGTTTGTACCCTGGAAAATGTGGAATTTGTGTTAATTGTGCCTGGATGATTTCAAGCTCAGAAATTCCCACTGCCAAACACAGCTTTTTTTCTATAAAGGCTGTGAGGGACACAGAGCACCACTTGATCAGTCACTGGTGACCACCACCACTTCTCCCCTTCCCTTAATAGCCTTTGCTTGGACCTCTTTGGGCTCTGAACATCCTCCAGTTGTGCTTCCTGCACACTCAAAATCTCTGTTACCACCATATAGACAGCACAAGATTATAGACAGGAACACAATGGTGAGATAAATAAATTTTTGTACTGTAGCTGCATCTACAAAAAGGGAACACAGAAGAAACAAACGTGAGATGTATGGACTTGGGAGTCTTTCATGATTGTGGCAGCAACTGAAGAAATTGCCCAGGTCGTTTTTGGTTTGTGTCTGTGTTTCACACAGCCTTCCTGGATTATCCAGTGGCTCCTACCTTTTTCCTCTGCAGCATGTGTTGTCAGACAGATGGCTGATCTACAGCAACAAAGCAAGTTCCATGTGGTTTTGAGGGGGGGAAAAATCTATGGCACTAAAGTGCTCACAGCTATGTACATGTTTTCTTCCTGCTCTGATGAGCTAGACTCTCAGACCACTGCCAGAGAGAATAGAGATGACTGGCTCAGCTTGTACCTTGTGAAGGTGCAGGGCTGCATTGTGCCTGCAGTGGGAGGGCTAAAAGAACAGCCTGCAGCCTCAGTCACCTGACCAGAAGACAGGACTACTTAGGGGATGACCTAGCCCACCTCAGCCCACAAGGACCAGCTGCCAAGAGAAAGAGACAAGATATATAAAGCCAATGGTTACATCACTTAGATGTAACCCCCTGCTCTATTTGCTTGCACAAGTTGCTCTCTTCTCTTTAATGTATTTTTTCAGTTCTTTGTTACCTTTCAGAAATTACAAGCTGTTCTTAATTCTGGCTCAGTCTGTCAGGAAGGGATCCACTGAATGCAGGCAAAATCTGGAGAACATGAGGGCTTCATTTGAACCTCAGGAGATACTACATTGCTACATACCTTCAGTAAACTACAACTTCATAATTGTAAGCTGGGGCTTCCTTTGGTTCCTTTGCTATTACAAGAAATACAAAGAGGAAAACTGGACCTTGCAGGAATCACTGAAGCTCCTGAGCGCTTTGGCCGCTAATTCCTGCAGGCGTTACTCCTATTTCAGAAACTGGTTTACTAATGACCATGGTGTAAATCTGCATAGGTACAAAATATTTGCAATTACCACTTTGTGGTAGCCAAATTCAAATTCTTTGGAGGGAAGAAAGACTAAGTTCTTACCATAGAACATACAATCTGGGAATTTATTTATTTTTATTTTTTTTACAATAGCATTTAACAAAAAACTTGGATTATTTTGGTAGCAGGAGTGAAAATTTCTGAACTAGGTCTTTGACTTAAAAAGAAAAGCCCTCCTTAGTAAGTAATATTAATCACCTGAAAAAGACAGCTCTAAGTCAACTCAAATACTACATAGTAACTTCCATTGTGTCCCAGGATTTTAGTGTTGGGATCATCCTACACATTCCTCATCTACATTCACAATACAGTTGACAGCAGCTGGAGGAGGTAGTCTTAACCTCATTATTTTGTCAGTTCAAAGACATATACTGAGAATGAGTATCTGGTGCACATATTTATCTGCTGATGCCTTAGCATAACGTCTTTCCAGGGTCCTAAGGGTCCTGGGGTGGCACTCTAAGGGTCTCTCTAGCTTCCTAGAAGGGAACCATGCGTATTATTTGTTCTCTGAGAGACCTAAATTTATAGCTCACACTTTGAATAGATCACACTTTGTATGACGCTGAGTTAATAAGCTAGGGATCACTAAATCTTCATCCAACCAAGTGAGGGTTTCCTTCTGAAAGAATCATCCTATGGAGAATATTGTTCATCAGTGAAATAATCTGTTTTTAACAGTTGTTCCTCTATATTAGGAATAGTCCTCATAGAATGTAGCCTTTTATGAACAGAGCATGAACACATACAACAGAGAAGATTGACCACAGAGAGGTGAGAAGGAGGCTGCAGTGCAGAGTTGTCACGTGGTGAAAGGGGTCAAAAACGCAGAAATTGTATGATGTCTGCTTTAAATTATTCATACTGTTCTTGCCCTTTGTGTGAGCATAAGAAGAGGTGGAACTCTGCCAAAGCAATACGGTTTAACCACAATAGTGACATTTGTACTTGCATTATAGAAATACAAAAAAAAAAGGTAATGGCTCTAGCAATAAAGCAGAAACACACAATGAAGGAAAGAAACCCACTCTTTAAACCTTTGGAACAAAGCTATAGTAATGACTCTTGTTAAACCCAAAGCTATACAATAATAAAAAGGCACTTACCACCATCCTGGTGGGAGAAACTCTGTGAAGGGAAAAAAATAGGATGTTTGGTTAAACCTTTAATATTTTGGGTCTGATTTGCTTTACATCTTGATTGTTATGCTAAGCTTGCTTTTATGGTTCTGTGCAATTTTTAAATGGGTTACTGTGGTTGATGCTTCTTGGATTTAGGTGCCATCATAGACTGAGGGGGGTGGTACATGGTAGAACCAGATGAAGATCTCTGCTTTTTGTTGCAGGCTGTAATGTTTTAAAGTGGCATTTGTGGCAAATGCTACTACCTCTGGATGCTGTGAGAGCAGGGAAGTTTGAAATAATCTCAGGATCCTGCTGACATCTTTAAGGGGGGCTGAAAGCTCACATGGTTTCCCTGCAGATAGGAAGATAGCATCTGAAATCCCTCTTCGAAAAAAGCTGAGATGGAAGGGAAAATCCAGGTAACCCAACCAGAATACACCCAATGCCACTGTCTGCCATCTTTTCTAGTCTTGCTCATACTGGTTAAAGCTATGTGTTCTGCAACTGTCAATCTTTCCTTAAGTGCATGAATTATACTTGCTGCTTCCAAATGGTGCTAAGAGTACACTTTGGTTTCAGTCTGCGCCCAAGTGTCTTTTTTTTTTTTTTTTTTAATACCTTTTGCAGGTTGTCAAAGGATTTCTCAGTCTCCTTTAGTTTCTCCAGAATTATTTGTTCTTTGGCAGATATTTGTGATTCTTCACTTTCTAATTTCTGTATTTCTTGTTCCAGTCTGTGGAAGACATACAGACATGCACATACACACAAAAACAAAATGTAAAGATTAGTTCAGTGAGAGAGAGTTTCTTAGGTATTAGCTGGCATTTCAAATGTCATCAGAAGTAACTTTATCTCTTATTTCACAACTGATTTCCTAGCACATGAAGGGCACGTGAATTATTTGTAAAACAGACAGATTTATAGGAAAAACAGTGATTATTTGAGGTACATTTTTATAGAACCTAGATTCTCCATTACTTTAACTCAAACCTCCTTTTATTGACATGATTTATGCAGATGCAGGAATATTCCCTCTTTCCCCCCACTTTCCTCCTCTTATATGTTCCACTGTCTTGGTTTTCTCCCTTTGGAAAAAGAAAAAATAATATGTATATGTATATGTATATGTATATGTATATGTATATGTGTATGTGTATGTGTATGTGTATGTATATGTCTGTATATATGTATAAAATAAGCTAAGATGAACTCAATTGGGCAGGAATAGTTACCTAAAACTCCCTTTGTCTACCAAAAGATCTGTAGCTGCTCATAGCTTGTTAAACCATATTTCCTTGATTGTGACATATCAGCATCACCCAGCACTTTCCTTACCCATGGCTGCTTGCTCCTGCCTTTCTGTCACCACTTTTCAAATGAAGGATCAGGACACTGATCCATGCTAAAGGACATTTTTTTTCTTTTCCAGCCTTGCTCAGCTCAGGACTCCACTAATGCTTGTTCAATCACAAGACAAAGAGCACCGAGAAGATGATGTAGGGAGGAGAGAAGGAGGAATTGCTTCTTTGACAGACCTGACAGGTTGAGTTTCTTATTAAATTCATGTGTTTAAATATAGATTCAGGGGTCTAAATTTAGGCACCCACCTGGGAAATTTTTCCTCACTTTTTAGTTGTATGATGATGAAAGTTCTGTGGCACTTACTGATGATGCTTTTCATTAGGGGGAGGGAAAAGTATTACGTGCTCAAGTTGTTGCAGATGGAAAAAGGCAGATTTTGCTTTCCTGAAGTATGTGAATACTTAATAGTCTCAGATTCATGGTGATTTGTTGAACTGCGATTAAAGGTAACACCTTCAATCACTAAGTTAAAATGGCTTAATTGCATTAATTTTAAAATTAACTGCTGGAAAGTACTGTGTCAATCAGTTTAATCTTTCCCCCAAAATAATATAAAACAAACAAAAAAAATGTAACCAATTTTTTTATTCCACTGCAGTGGAACAGTTTGATATGGGATGATTGTAATTCAGGGAAAAAAATTTCAAACTATCCTCTTCTATATTGACTTTTTTATCTTGATTTTTAAAAGTAGCTAGTGAAGTGAAAAATTCATTTGTCACTCAGGTCAGGCATTTGCCACACTCTTGCTAAATTAAAGAACTTAGAAGTCCACAGCTAGGTGCCTTCTTTTCCTTCTCTAGCCCTTGGAATAATCTATAGATTCACATACATTTGTACCTTGCTGATAAAGAAATTTGAAATACTCTGCTGTGATGCCTGGTGAAAATAAATTGTGGAGGTGGGTAAGCCAGGGTTTACTGGTGTACTTCACTTCTTGCCCAGTGAGTCACCAAGCAGCATTTTCAGGATGCATATTCTGTAAACTAGTACATTTTGCTTGCTGTATGACTTGGGAAGAGACTGAAAAAATGGGAGTGTGTAGAGGTCAGCAACAATAAAATACAGGAAGAGGGAAGAAGCCCTTCTACTTTCAAATGAACTGGACATTAATTAGTAGTTTATGACAGTGAAAACTCTGAGTATATGAGGCAACTCATTTGATGCATAGTTATAAGCAGGTATGCTCCTTGTAATTTGGGGTCATTGTAAGTCACTGTTTTTTTGTACACCAGCTCAGACTGGAGAAGGTTTATTGTTAATTGTTTGGTCGTGCAGAGAAAGTTTGCTTTTAACACACGCACATGTGCACTTGCACTTGCACAGATAGAAACGGAGTCAATTTATATTTTCTTGCTTTCTGACTGATTGCTCTTTTGGTTTTACGCCTCCTAGTTCACTTCCTCAGTTTCTGCTTCCTTTGTGCCAGCCTACCCTCATATTAAAAGGAGTTGGGCAGACGAGACATTACATCACTCTATTTTGACAAGCTATCTAGTTATTCTCATTTTTGTTCTTGTAGTTGGTTTTTTGGCTTTGTTTTTTTTTGTTTTTTTCTGAATCCCTTCTTTACTTTCTTTTAGAAGTGATACTGACAACAACTCGCCAAAGAGGAAAAGGATGGACACAGAGCTACCAGGATTTAGAAACATGGAAGAAGCTGTTAGGAACAGAGATCTTCTGTGTGACACTGAAGAACACATAAAACTCATCCTGTGGAGCCTAATTACCTTTTCCTCACTGGAATCAGTACAAGTAGACTGAGAGTCTCCCAGGCTCCATGTGGAATGCAGAAAAATTCCAGGAAAAATACAGATTGTTCATCAGAAGGTACCTAGCCCAGGGGTTCTACACCAGACATTGGTATCCACAGAAAGTTGCTTTCTACATTGTTTCTAAATTTATAGCTCTTTAGGCCTAAGGGTTGAGGCACCTCTGCTTTGGTAACAGAAATACTCAGGGTCAGAGTTTCTATGTGAACTGTTGTATATATTCCTGAGTAAATCACTTGGCTACCAACACACCTTACTGGAACATTTGGACCGAGAGTCCACACCACTCTTTTGGGCTGTCTTTTTACATATGGTCCAGCAATGCAAAAATTTAAATCATGCAAACTGAAGGTTGCTTTGCATGGTTTATTTTTTTATTGAGTTTCATATAATCAGAATTGCTCAGTGGTAAGGAGAAGCGCCTGAATTTTTGACACCAACACACAAAAGAGTCATGTAAATTTGGTCTGAAAAATAAATGCACTAGTACCACATCTGTTTTGAGCAACACATTGTATAATGGCTTAAATAGTAATAAATCCATTCAGAGTGCACATGTACACCTACATATATATACAAAGACCTTACATTCTTCCTGTGTAAACCTGTTAAGTATCAAATAATGTCCTTTTCTTCTAGCCCATTTTAGAAAGGATATGCCTTAATTGTCATTTGACATCTGGCAAGGAAACCCTGTAATTCCCTTGTTCCTTAGCAGACTTCTTAGCAGGTTTTGGGCTGGCCTTTGAAAGGTGGCCACAACAATAAAGACAGTTACATAAACAACTACAATATCTGAAGCATTGTAGGAAAGAAAATTAAGAAAGAAAATGCAGATTCAAATGAGACAGAAGATAAAACAGACAGTATTTCTGTTTCATTGGCCCAGGCAGCTACCTCATGATTGAGATTTGCTAAACTGTTTCTAGAAGAAAAAAAAAAATAGGTCAGAGGGTCTGGGGTTGCTGTGGCGTGGGCAAGGTTTTGTTTCTGTGATTGTATTAGAATCCTATTTTCCCAAATACCACAGAAACAGAAGGGAACCTCAAAGCCAAACCTGCCTTGCTGCTTGTCTGTCCTGCAGCTTTCTCCAATGTATGGCTGCCATATGCATCCAAGAGAGTAAGAGGATTTCTGGGGTGGGGGGTGTTTGCATAAGCTAGGAAGCTAAATGACTTTCCTTCTCATGTTAACAATGCTACCCTGCTTTGAAGAGGAAGGAACCACAAACAGCTCAAGAGATGCTGTCCTTTGGACAGCATTTTGCTGTCATTTGGGGGACCCTGATTTCTTGGTTAATAAGACTACAAGCTTCTAGGATAGTGAGGGTTGGAAATGACTTTGGGCGGTCTCTAGCCCAATCTCCTCCTCAAAACAGGGTCACCTATGATCAGGCCAGGATGACCATGGCTTCTTCCAGTTGGGTCTTGAAACTCCTGAATGATGGGGGGAAAATATATTTTAAGGCTACTTACAGACCTTCTCTTTTAGACTCTGCAGCTATCAAGCCCTACAAAATTCAGATCAGGACCTTACAGTACTGCAGGGAAGGAGATGTACCAGATTGATAAAGGAAACCTGGTCTGTGTGTTTGGTGGGATTTTAACCTAACTGGGCACTACATGAGTCTGGACAAAGCAGCCAGTGAAGCTTCTGAGAAGACCAGAGGCAGAAACAAAACATGAATTCTCCTGAAGCGATGCAGGAATATGGACCACAGGAGCTATCAGGTAGGATAGAATATTGTAATCTAGGTGACAAAAAGGGGTGTTAAGCAGGGAGACCTCTAAGAGGTGAAGAGGTAGAAGACAAGGTTTGGAACTGTGGTATGTGTATGTGTGCATTTACATTTAGCACTCGGTACCCAGCAAACACTGTGTTTGGATACAGGACTTTACTTTGTGCTCCAGTCTGAAGGTGTTGAAGGCACTTTCTCAGGTGAAAGATTTCCTCTGTTTATTCTGTTTCCCATGTTAAGATGCTGAAACCCACTAACCTGGCCTGTCGTTTTCCTCTTTGCTTAAAAGCAGAGGCTGTTCTGTCCTGAGATGCCTTTCCTCGACCCCAGGGGAGACCCTGAGTGTGGTCCTGCGGGGCATTCACAGAGTGAATGCAGATGTTGATGCAGAGTCACACTGGTTTAAAACAGGAACACACAAATCCTAAGTCAGCAGAACTATGCCTAAAGAAAACAGCCTTCTCTATCCAGCTAATTAACTCTAGCAGAAACAGACTTCTAGAGGTATCTACATTTGGCTTAGCAGTGTTTTGTTTTTCAGAGTAGGAGGGTAACAGCATTATAAACAGGGAGAACAGCTGCAGGTTTATGGACCGGTTTCTTTAGTTTGTGCTAACTATTCATTCTGAGAAATACTCATGAAATTTCCACAGTAAAAGCAGAAATGTAATAAAAATTATGTCTTCAGCACACACACTGGCATGTCAGTGGAAAAAAGAACATTCATCAGGACTAATACGGAAAGTATAAAAGTATTCAGAACTTAAGAGAAAAACAGGAAAGACCTAATCACAGTAAACACTTGAAGGGAAAAGGTGACGGATGCATATGTAGAGTGGGGGATGGTTCACCTTTAACTGA